CCCCAGTGCCGTCCATAGAGCATGCCAGCAGAGGCCGCTACGGGCAAAACCACTGCTGCTGTCTAGGACTGTCTTCCCGAAAAAACAGCTTCTTTTTAACTAACACGGACCCTGACCCTTATAAACCCAGCTCCCTGTACACTTTTTGTGACACACGTGGCAGTCACTCTTGATTACATAAATTAGGTATCAGCTACACACAAGAGCTGTAACCCTTCTGAGGAACGGTGAAGAGTAAGCTGAGTCAGCAGGACAATCCAGGACATTCAAGAGCATAAAGCAATATTTGTTTCCAATGTCACTATTAAGAGCATGTCATTAGATACAGCTTTATGATTAGCAGGACTTTATACTTGGTCATCCACTCCAAACAGCAGGCACTTCCAGAATATTCCTGCAGCAACTGCTTTTTCCACCCTTCTTTGTAAGAATAAGTCAACAATAAGGATCCCACAGTAGTTAGTCCTTAGTGCATAGTCACAGGACGGTACAAAAATAACCGTATGCAGAGTAACTTTTCAAATACTTCTCTGAGAGCTTCTCTTGCCTATATACACAAAAATATCTTTCAGAATTGGCTATTTCTCTTAAAAGAGCTGAGGATTTCTGAAAGAACTTACTTAACTCCTTGGTGTCATTTAAACCTTTACACTCATTTCCAACTGTACGTATGTGTCGATGAAGCACATCTCCTACACAAGCTGATCATGGAGCCATAACAGTAGGAGTCCAGAGTGCTCTTCATCTAAACCAGCAGGAGAGCTGAACCAGTAGAGAAAGATGGTAGCACACACCTTACACACACATCCATTTCCTAATCTGAAGTAGCTGACAGAAGCCAAGGTACAAAATCTGGCATGCAGCATAAATGTCTGTATTACAGACATTTCACCTTGATTGCACAGCATCAATGCACCCCTACGTTTCTGTATAGAACAGTTTTTATTCAAGATTGAAACAGGCAGAGATTTCAGACTAAAATCTGTGGTACTTAAGTGATTCTGCATTGACGTATGTATGTATCTACCTGAGTAACTTGCTGGCAAGTAGTGGCTTATCCTAAAATTTTTAATAAATCTCTTGTAAAACTACAGAATTAGACAACTGCAAAAAATCCAACTCCGATGTGACAGTAACTACTACTAAAGCAAATAAATAAATTTTAAAACATCCTGTAAGTCACTTTAGAAAATTCCACCAGTCCCATCACTCCTCCACAGGAGGCAATGAGAGCCAGGAACATCACATAAGAGCTTCACTCCATTTGTAACCAAGTTACTGAGGTACAGATAATTTCTTTCAGAATATGCCTCTCCTAGTTAATATGGCCATGTAGACGACTTTATGGGAGAGAATGTCTGCCTTTTGGACGGGTCAAAATAGACCTTAAGATTTAGTGCTAATTTTACTTGTCACGCTAATGAGAGGACTTCATTATCAATTATATTGATATGCCAACTTCCAATCATCTGGGACCTCCCCAGTGAGCCAGGACTGTGGGTAACTGATGGAGAGCGGCTTGGCGAACTCTTCCACCAGTTACCTCATCACTTTGGGATGGATCCCATCCGGTCTCATAGATTTGTGAGGATCCAAGCAGCTAAGCAGATTTCTAACCATTTCCTCTTGGATTTCAGGGAGGCTATTTGGCTTCCTATCTCTGTCTATCAGCCCTAGAGTCCAGTTGTCCTGAGGACAACCTGTCCTGCTATTAAAAACTCAGGCAAAGAAGGTGTGAAGTATCTCAGCCTTTTCCTCATCTTGGGTCACTCTGTTCCCTCCCATGTTCAACAAGGTGTTTTCCTTGCCCTTCCTTTTGCTATTGATGTATTTATAGAAACACGTTTTGCTATCCCAGACAGAACTGGCCAGATTTAATTAAAATTGTGCCTTTGTCTCTCTAATTTTCTTCCTACATGACCTGACTATATTCCTGAGCTCTTCTTGAGTAGCCTGCCCTTTTTTCCAGAGTTGGTAAACTCTCTTTTTTTTTTTCTTCATAATTTCCTGCAAATTTTCCCTGTTCAGCCATGTTCTTATTACATGTTTGTATTTACTGAGTGCCCAAGGTCCACACTTACTTTCAGTTACCACAACAACTAGCAAGATGATGCCTACATGTTTCCACTTGATTCACAGGGCTTGTGGGCTACCCCCAAAACCAACTTTATGTAAGAATGGGACAAGCACAGTGTACATGGACTGTGAAGACTCTCTGTGAAGAACTTTTCTTGTGCAGATAGTAAAAGAAACTGGGCTGATAGCCCTTCGACCCATCATTGAAGTCCTTATCATTTGTAAAACCGAACTACCAGTCTTGTCCAAAGCCCAGCAAAGTCCACTGAAGGCATTCCCTTAATTTCTACCTGGTTTGTATCACAGCCAGCTGTGCAAATTATAGTTAAACTGAAAAGCCCTTACAACAGATAATTACAAAATAAAGTTCATAAGATATTTGAACGTTTCAGCATCATGTTGTTTACCCTTCTATAAGGGGCTCTAAATCACATTATGAGTTTGTGCACGAAGAGGTGCAGTTTTAATGATCTGCATACTACTGTGGGTCACTCAACTGCCCTTCTATTCTAATGATTTTCTTCATAGAAGGGTGGGGTTTTTTTCTTTTTAAACAAAGCGATGTATTACAGAAAAGACTTTTAAAAATCCTATAAATAAACTAATTTAAACTGCTGGGAGAGGTAAGATACATGGAAGTACAACAGGATAAAAATACTTTACAGTGGCCTACAATGATATCATCCAGTTCAACTTTCTGACCTCTTCAGGGCTGACCAAAAGTTAAGGCAAGTTATCAAGGGCAGTGTCCAAATGCCTCTTAAACACTGACAGACAAGTCAGGCACGACCATCTCCCCAGGAAGCCTCCTCCAGAGTTTGACCAGCTCTTGGTAATTAAATGTTTCCTCATGTCAGGTCCAAACCTCCCTTGAGGAACGCAGCTTTCAGCCATTCCCACATGTCCTGGCACTGGGTATCAGGGAGAAAAGATCAGCACCTCCCTCCCTGCTTCCTCTTCTCAGGAAGCTGTAGGGAGCAGTGAGGTCAGCCTTGAGCCTCCTTCTCTCCAAACTAGACAAGCCCAGAGTCCTCAGCCACTCCTCAGAGGACATGCCTGCCAACCCCTTCCCAAGCTTTGTTGCCTTCCTCTGGACAGATTCAAGCACCTTCACTTTCTTTTTAAATGCTAGGGTCCAGGACTACACACAATAGTCAAGGTGAAGCCACACCGACAGTAAACACACCTTTAAAAGTAGTATTATTTGTTAATACTTCCTTCAGTCAACAGGAGAGGGAAAGAAAAAAGAAGCCAATGCCAGATGACATCAAATCACCAAGAATTAACTGCAAATCAGAGCCATTAATTGTAAATTTTTTTTACATTTACATGTAAGACTAAACACATGTTCATTTACAAGATCTCTTGGAACTCAGCAAACATACATCAGCTTCAATGTTTAAAGAAAATGTATTAAGATTGTTAGATTTTATTTGTAATTTTATAACTAAATGAGAGATCAAAGTATGTGTATAGATAATGTTTTGTTTTTCTAAATTCAAAGTTGCTATCAAGCTTTGAACATACAAGCTGAAACTTCACATCGG